TTTGGTCTTTTTTGAGACAGGGTCTTCCTATAGCCCCAGCTGCCCTGGAACTTACTATGCAGACCAGGATGGCCTCGAACTCACAGAGATCCTCCTCTGCCTCCCAAGTGCTGTGATTAAATGTGTGTGCCACCATGCTAGGCTTACTTTTTTTTTTTTTTTAATGGTGTTGGAGACTCAGAATCTTGTGCATGCAAAATATGTGCTCATACTTTTTCATCTATAAAATTCTATCTTATTTAAGTACTTTTTAAAAATAAGAGTGCATTATGGCATTCATTACAAAGTAAAACATTACCCTGACCACATGTCAAACAGATAACGTGACACCTATGAGTACCTGCTCAAGAACATTATGGGTTGGCTGTTTCCTCCCCTCTGGGCATAGGAGGTTCAGATTTTATTAGAGTTCATCACAAAAGAGGGCTCTGCTGGGAAAACAGCAGTCGAAAGGGCCCTGGTGACTCCAGAGACACTGCTGATATAGGACAGAGATTGAAAATAGGGAATGTGCTGGCCAGTAAATGCCAACCTACCTGAGTGGACACTGTGGGCTTTAAGCTGGGCATTCTGCTGCCACCTGGCCCTCCTCAGAGAAGGGAGATGAGCCAGCAAGAAAGGAAACGCAGTTTTTAGTGATTCTCAGTCCTGGCTGATCCCCTAGATGGGCAGCCTTCAAGAAGGTGGCTTCCTCTGCACCCTTAAAACCCCAGCCTCTTAAGGAGCCCCACAGTCACTACCTTATAGGAGGAGCCCATGGAATTCATGCATCCACAGGCTCTGCTTGCAGGAGGCAAGGGCAGGCCTGGGAGGGCATTGGGGTCTGAAGGGTCAGAGAAAGGCTGAAGCATCCAGGAAGGGCAGCAGCAGGAGCCAGCTCTTAGTCATGCTGCTCTCAGTTCTGGCTTTTCACTTACAATACAGAGGCACATTTTCAGTCATTCTACAGACCACACACACAGTATGATCCAAAATATAGTAAAACAAAAGGGAGTGATTAACAAGTGGATTCTTTTCTAAAAAAAAAAAAAAACAAAAATCATTTATTTTTATTTTATGTGTACGAGTGTTTTGTCTGCATGTAAGTGCACCCATGCATCCAATGTCTGTGGAGGCCAGAAGGGGGCAACAGATTCCTTGAAACTGGCATTATAGCCAGTTGTTTGTGGCCATGTGGGTGCTGGGAACAGAACCCTAGTTCTCTGCAACAGCAGCCAGTGCTCTTAATCACCGAGCCATCTCTCCAGCCCGTTTTCTTTTTAAAATAAAACATGGATGACACTACTGTTGTCATTATGCCACCCACGTCTGGGTGACTGTGGCATTCCTAGGCAAAGCTCTTGCTGTTTCAAACTCTTACTTTTAATTCCTTTCTAAGAAGTCATGTGGGAAGTAAAGGCTTACTAAGCCCAAGCTACTGCAGAGGGCTCACCTGTGAGCCCCACCTTCTCACAAAGAAGAGAAGAATGACAGGCAGGCTGCCTGGGTCTGGCACCCAGCTCTCATTGGCCAACAGTGTGCACTGGGAAAGCCACTTTCATTCTATGTGCCCTGGTTTCTTCACCCCAAAAGGAGACTGTTCTGAGCTCTAATGAGGCAATGCACACCAAGGCTCAGAATAGGAACCCAGCATGCACTTGCCAAATTAACATCAGTGATCCTATTTGGGACTAGAAAGATCAGAATCCAACACTCACCTCCAGGAGCTACAATTAGGCATGAGCCAGTAAGAAGAGGTTTTAATGACAAGATCATTCTGCCATCCCACCCACACTGTGCATGAGGCACACAGCAGGCCAGCAGCAGGACTGCCCTTCACTTACTGCGGGGTCTTTAGTGCAGCAGGAGAATGGTACGCCGCATCGCTCTCGGCTTGCATTGGAATCTGTGCAATTGAAGTAAATATTTAGGTTCCAATCATCAGCTCCAAAAGCCCCACAGCACTGCCACTAGAGCAAACAGGAGAGAGTTAGAATGCTAGACTTAGAGGGGACCAGGCACCTGCCTCCACCTATGACACCGATCTCCTGCAAGCGCCAACCTGCTCTCTCAGCATTTATTTTTAAGTCAAACAGAACCTACATGGCCTTGTAAAGCCTTCCAAAGTAATTAAGACTGAAGGCTCCTAACCAGGGGTTGGCATGTCATTTAACAATCAGCAAGACCATCCTGTAGGTGGAGAAGAGAGGAGCGTTGTATAGCAGGGTTCAGAGCAAAATCTATTTGTCTTGGATACGTTCTAGAAGGATAAACAAGAACATTCTAGAAGGAAAACTAAATCACAAACCCATGGTAGTGTCTAATGCAGCAATTGGGGTTGTGGGTAGGCTTAGTGTTTTGATCTTGTTTAAATAGTTCTTAAACAGGGTCTGTAACCAACATCAGATAAACAGTATAAAATTTTGATAATTTCTAATATATTTATATATAAAATATTGTGAAACTGACCACAATTGTGATAGTGGGCATTGGGGCTGATATGTATCAGTGATGCAGACAAGTGATCAGTATGGGTGAGGCCCTGGG